CCATCACTACATCTGCTAAAGGACTATAAGAGCCCTCAGTGCCCTCTCAAGTTCACTGCCCAGTGGCAAGGCCCTAGCCCTACTAGCTAGTACTCTGCCAAAATGACCCTGCTGATTACCACTGGCATAGTCTTGGGCAAGTAATTGCCCTCCTCTGGGCCTTTCTTTCCCTATCTGTAAAATAAGGTTGGACTAGATCAGAACTTCTTAACCTTTTTGTGTCACAAACCCCAATGACAGTCTGGTGAAATCTATGGATCGCCTTTCTCAGAAGAATGTTTTAAAATAATTGAAAGAAGTAATAAATTTCAGTTCAAAGTTAGTGAAAATGAAGATGTAATTTTTTTTTCCTTCCAAGTTCACAGACCCCCTTTAATCTATCCACAGAACCCAGGTTGATAACTTTTATACTAGGTAATAGATGAAGTTCTGTTCCATTTTAGGTCCTATTTGCCTGTGAGGAACGAGAAAAATAGAAGGGAGAAGGAAGAGAAAGAGATGTTTCCCATGTCCCTTCTAGGTTGGACATGGACCATGGCAACATGATGTCTGAGATCCCTACTGTCCACTCCAAATACAGCCTGCCCTGACCCCTCAGCTCTTCCCCAACCCACCTCCCTAAAACATACTTACCTTCAATTTGCATGTGATCCAAATATCATGCCATTCATTCTCGGCATCAGTTTTCATTCTTCTGTTTTCCATATGGGTCATTCCTGTTCACTTTAAGTCAGTATATGTCTTAGAATGCAAATCCTAGATAGAGGGATGGAGTCTTTCTTTATGTAGTTGTCACGTGTTTCTAAAAGGTTGTGTATAAAACGAAAATTCCGGGAACCAAAGCTTATTTTTCCACTCAGGTATGTTCATTCATCTCAGAGGTGTTGTATCCTCATTTCTGATTCCTCCCCAAAGTGCAGTATCTGCTAGCACTTCTGTATGAAGTTTTTCCATTCCTAGTCCTCCCTCTTTGACCTCTTTGTCAGTAGTGAATAATCTTCAGACAAATATTTAAATGCACTAGAGAAGCCTACTATGTAAAAGCAGCCCTCTGAATCCCTTTATAAATGGGATGATTCTTTCCATAGTATGAATAAACACCCTCTTAATTCATATTTTGTAAGTCTCTCTTTTCATTGATGGGCTTTCTTAAAACAAGCCCCCTGAAATGTTTCAGATTTTCCACTTCTCAACACGCAGCTCAATACGATATGCCATTAGGCCCTTAATAAATATTTTCTGAGAGAATCTTAGTTCAGTCCAATAAGGACACCTGTCCTTTTTCACCTCCTGTCAGAGCCTCAGGATACAAACCCACAGAACTGCAGATTTGTCACTGAGTTTATAAATGCCAAGACGACAGCTCTCCTGCAAGAGAATTCACTTGGTGGACACATTGCAGATAAATAATGTATGAAACCACTTCTATTTTAACTGCACTTTTCAGTGACACTAATATTGATGAAAAATGTTAGCGTATGTTAGATGGTGTTATATATTCAGCAAGGGATGGGGCCTGACAGGCTCTGGGGTGTGGTAAAGGAAAAGAAAGCCATTTGCTTTCAGGTCAATGATTTGAATCCAAGCCAAGGTTTGTAAGAAATAGCTGTTCCAGTTGACAGTTGTCAGTGCCCTCTGTGAAATGGGCTGGTGGTTTCAGATCATGCTCTGGTGGAAATATTGACAGGACAGAACCATCAACTATCATCTTCCCAGTCAGTCGCAGGCTAAGACGGAAGCTCCTTGAGTGCAGGGGCAGTAGCATCTTTTTTTTTTTTCATGTTGGTATTCCCTAGCACCTAGCATAGCGCCTTGCACATACTAGGCTTAATAAATGTTTGCTTGTTTAATGGACAGAGAGGAGGTAGGTAGTTAAAATGGAAATAATACAGCAATTTGGTTTCATCTTAGTACATCACTGAAACGAGTACTAACGATGGCCCCTGGGGGGAGGGGGAGTAAAGGGGTTAAAGAGAGAATGGTTCCAGTAGTTTTAGAGAACTCCCAGCAAGCGAAATGCCTCTACAAATGCAGATCAGAGCTGCCTAGGACAGAGGTATCAAACATGCTGCCCAGACTGCATGATGTAATACTCCACAGGATCATTATTTATGGTTTAGTGGCCCCCATTTCTATTTGAGTTTGACATTAGGACACTGAAATGTTATGTGACCCACCCAAGGTCATACAGCCAATATGTTTCAGGTAACATTTGAAGCCAGGTCTTCCTGACTCAAAGGCAGGCTATCTATCCACTATGCCATCCTGTCTCTCAAAGTTGGCCAGCTAAGAAAGGTCCCAGGGCATTTGTGGTTTTGTGGCTATCAAAGAAATAATTGATGGGAAAACTTTATAATTTTCCTCACAGTCCTTGAGACACCACGACACCTAATCAAGGTCTGACAGGGGTAAAACTACAAATTATCTATAATGTAGTTTTGTAGCCATCAATGCAATGACCAGTCACAAATCCAGAAGACTGATAATAAAGCATGTTTCCAACCTCTTGTCAGGGAAGTAACGCACTTAGAGGTTCAGAATGAGACATACATTTTCAGGCATAGCCAACATATGAACTAGCTTTGTTTGATTCTACTTATTTGTCACAGGAAAAGGATTTTACTGGGGGAAAGGGAGAGTCATGGGGAGGAGTTGTGAGTAATAATAGTGATATTAAAAAAAAAAGGAAAGAATATCAATGAAACACACTTAAAATGCCCAGAAAGAGAACAGAAGGAGGTTCACAAGGGGACATCAACATGCAAGGCAGTGTTAAAACTATACTATATTTTTAAAATAATACATTAAATCATCTATATAAAAATTTTTTTAAAGTTATATGTAATAGAGATTCACTGTGTCATGTACAATCTTCTTTTCTGTTCTGATAAAGAAATGTTCATATTTATTTATGTTTTCCAAATTCATACTAACAAAAAGAAAAAAAAATTAAATGCCTGACCAACATCTTACTTTGTGTCATCAGAATGTTAGCTGATAAATCATGACCTTTTCCAATTGATAGGGATTAGGACTAGACTTATGATTTCATTGCTGCAGGGAACTTCCAGGTAAGGAAATACCCTTTACCAAAGCACACTAACACCTGCCCTGAAACTTATAGAGCTTCAATGATCCTTGTCTAGGGCCACACAGCCAATATGGATCAGAAGGCAAAACTAAGTTCATTCTGACTCTGAGGACTACTGTCCATCCACTGTACTATGCTGCCTCTCAAAATATCTTCCTCTTTCATATAGATGATAAATGTTTTTATTCTTTTACAAATTTAAAGTATCTTATGTCAAAGTCATAAAATCTGAGATAGAAAGGATCTTTGAGATCATCCAGTCCAATCCTTATACATGGAGCAAGTATTCCCTATCTACAACATTCCAGACAAATGGTCATCCAGCTTGTTCTCACTACAACAATGGTCCAAGAGGATACAGAACCCATTTCTGGGGCATTACCATTTATGCAGATGTATCCATGTGCTAGAAAGGGAACAGATTGGGCAGAAAGTGAAAGAAAATGAAGAAAAGATCTGGAGTTTAAAAGATGTATAAAGTTAAAAACGCAGGAAAATATTATTAGCTGGTGATACATTATTTAAATAACTTGAAGGTTTGGGAACTTAATAATTCTCTTTCAGAGCCAATTTATGTAAAGATAACAAGCCAACTGCAGTAAAAATAGGTCAGCACCTTCCCCGTCAAAGACTTAAAATTAATTGCACTGGCCATGTTTCTATTCAGCACAGTGCTGGTTTCCCTAGCTGGGTGCGACAGAGTAGGTATACTTTTGGTAAAAAACAAATTCTCCATTAAACGTGAGTAGGAAGCTTACTGTTTAAATGAATCCCTTTGTAAATTCTTTTGTAAAGTGAATAATCTCCCATTCCTCCTCACCCATACTCCAATTCATTGTTTTGGAAATCCAGATTTCAGCTATTAAGCTAGCTTTAAACAGCTGTTCAGAATAAGCCTGGGTCTGAGACTATCTACGCATAAGGGTGGTAAAGAAAGAGTTGAGAAAATGTGCCTTCTTCCCCTCTTGGGCTAGAAATTTGTTTCACTCTGTCTTTTTGTAGGTTCTGCTGTTGTAGAATTTGTTTAGAGCCATTTTTGACAGGTATTTGGAGGGGTTTGGGGGAACGTTCAAGCAAGTCCCTGCTTTTACTCCGCCATCTTGGCTCTGCCCCCTTTCTTCCTCTCTTTACAGAAGTGAAGGCCGCTGGACAAGGAAGATTGGGTACACTGTCAGTCAAGAGAAATGTGTTGGTCGGTTCTGCTGAACCACTCTCTTTCTCGTAAAATTTGCAGATCTTGGTCAGAATCCACAGCTCTTCTCCCTGGCTCCAAATCAAAATAGTTCATACTTAAGAGTCTCTGCTCATCTCCCCACTGCAGAGGCAGGTCACAGCTGACTGCTTCAATTCAAAGCTATGGTTCTGGAATGACTCATGGGGCGAACATGCAGAAACAGCTTCAATGAGCGAAGGGAGGAAGTGGCTAAGGTGTCAGCGTGACTTGAGGCGATATTATTCCAAGCACCTTAACGTAGATCAGATTAACAACAAAAGTATAGGCTTCTTCTCCCTGCCATCATCACTTAATTGCCATTAAGTGGGCATAAACCCACATTGTTTAATAACATTAGAGGCAGTGTGATAAAGTGTATAAAGTGATGGACTAAAAGTCAAGAAAACCTGATTTCGAATTTTACCTCTAATATTTACTAGTACTCAAAAAAGCCTGATTTCAAATTCAGTCTTAGACACTTACGAGCTGTGTGACCCTGGGAAAGTCATTTAACCTCTGTTTGCCTTAGTCTCCTCATCTGTAAAATGGGGATGATAATAATAATAACTCCCTCCCAGGATTGTTGCAAGGCTCAAATGAGATAATAATTGTAAAGCACCTAGCACAGTGCCTGGCACATAGTAAATGCTACATGAATGGTAGCTATTATTATTAGTTCCTTGACCTTGGTCAAGGTTGATCTCTCTCTCTGGGCCTCAGATTCCTTATCTGCAAAATGAAGGGTTGCACTCTCTGATCTTGCCAGCTCTTAATGTATGATCTTACGACTTCAGATAAAACATAATATTGCTTTTGTATAATACTTTATTCATTTCAAAGAACTTTCATCTGCATTATCTTATCTGTTCTCCATAATACTCTGGTGTGACACTTCGATATTTCAGAAGATCTATGATATCATCATTGAGGACACTCCCTTTACCAATACAGATTGTTATCTCTCCACCACTCCCCCATACTTCAGTAGATAGAATGAGTTGTGCTGGGCAAAAAAAGTCATTACTTGGTTGTCAACATTCTGGTGAGAAAACTACACACTTAATTAGCCTGGTCTTCAGTCAACCCGTACAGTCTGTCATTGGGTTCAAACTCAAGCCTTTCCAAGTCATAGAATTTCCCGCAATTTGTCCTCCGCTGGTATTGCTTTTGAGAACCTAGAATTATCTCCATACTCCAATAAGGCATTAGAGTGACACTTAAGTGAAGGTCTGTTTTCATTTCACAGGTGAGAAAATTAAAATACAAACCATTTAAATGCCATGCCTGAGGTCATGCTGCCAGTTTGTGATGTAGCCAAATACAGGACCAGGACTCTGGACTCCTAGTTCATGATTCTTTCCATTAGAAAATGTCCTCCATTGCATGTTCCTGTAGAGTCTGTCTCCTTGCTTCTGATCTGCTAAGATCCCAAAGAATCATGTTCCAGGCTTTCATATTTCACCCTTTGTCTGTGACGGCAGAGATATCCCAGCTGAAGAACTGAGTTTCATAGGTCTGATACAAAGACGACCCATGGAATTCAGTTCTCAAAGCTGAAGATACAGGTTCTCTAGAGTATCTCCCATCTTCTTGCCTCAAACAAAGTCTGCTGCTTTTCCCATGTGCTTGCTGTAAGATACAATAAGGAAATCTCAAGTGAACCCAAGAACAGCTACCTTCAGATGCTGAGCTTTTCAAGACTCTGGTTCTTCCCAAAAGCCAGGAGTCAGAAGTGTTCATGGGGGCTCAGGGGGTTTGGAGGTGGCTTTAAGAGTGAGAGTCTAGAATTATGGCATTTTAGGTTTATAAGGACCACTAGAGATCACTTTGTCTAACTCTCTCATTTTACAGATTAGGAATCTGGCTCCCTACAACCTATACAGGCTTACATCACATCATGTGCTTTCCTTCCCCAGCTTCTGTGTTCCAGCCACACTGGCCTGTCTGTTCTACCCCATCCATGACAATTCATCTCCCATATCTATGCTTTTGCACAATGACCTCCATGCCTGCAATGCCCTCCCTCCTCACCTCCCATCCAGAGAATCCCTGGTTCTTTCAAAGCTCAGCTCAAAGACATCTTCCTATAGGTAACCTATCATGATTTTTCTTATTTGCTAGTGCCCTCCCCTTGTTACCTTATGTTCATTGTGCATATATTTTGTATTTAATTTTCTGTGTGTGTGTTGTTTCCCCACAATAGAATGGAAGCTTCTTGAGGACAGGGACTGCCATTCTTTCCACTGTACCACTTTAATTTTCTGGTCCTTCCAGAACTCCTCAGAAGCAAGACAACACTAAGTGAGAGGGCCTTTAAACCATATCCCTTAAACCAACATCTACCACTGTTATTACACCAGGGTCTACTTACCATTCAATTCTAGATATGGGTAATATGGGCTGCTTTCCCCATACCCACAGTGCAAGATGAGATTTCATTTGATGTCTTAATAAATGCTCATTGAGTGATTTCAGCACACTCTCTCCCAAGGATCTTGGTGATGCTCACCACGTCCTCCTGCCATAAGGAAGTCCATTGGGGGAAAAAAAGCAAGTCATTTAAAAAAAAAGTATCAACCACTCCTTTTCTCATACTTTCTCCCCTCCATTCACTTAATCCATCCTCTGGAATAGTCAATAGAGAGTGGAGGAAGAGTGAATCTGGAATGCCTGGCATCCAACCAGGATTGTGTCCAGATTTTTTTTAAGTCAGTATTATTTAAGAATCCATTTGCCCTTCCCACAATTAAATCCAACATTGAACCAATAAGTTTAAATTTACCATATCATTCTCATGGTTAGCTTAAACACACACCAGAGATACAGAAAGAAGTATCTATACTTGGGTGTGACTAGTCTCCATTGATGTGGTGGTCAATAGAATAGAAACCCAAAAGTTGAGGAGTAGAGCTTAAGAATGAGGTCAATAGAGAAACTCTGCTTAGGAGTGATAAAGGCGCAGTGGTGGGCTGAGGACAGAATCTTAAGTGTAGGGACCATTTAGGAACTATTATGCAGGGAAGGGACCGAGGAATGGGCCAAGAAAACAGAGAAGGAATGGTGAGTGAAGCAGAGAAGGAGATGAGTGTGATATCTCCGAATCCAAGGGACAGATAAGTATCCAGAAGGAGGGGATGACCAATAACTATACAGTCTAATATTTACATAGTGACTTCAGGTTTAAAACAATTGTGCATGTATTTTCTCATCTGATTCTCACAATAACCCTATAATGGAAGTAATGTAGGTAGATGAGGAAATAGGATCAAAATGGCTAAAGGTCATATGCCCACAAATACATGAAATAGGATTCAAGCCTAGATTTATCCTAATTCCACATCCAGCTCACTCTCCATCATGCCACACTGCCTCTGTGGACACCTCTGGTCAAGTCTCAAATGCTCAAAAAAATTCAAAAGGATGAAGCTGAGGGTGGGGGAGCAATAGGATTTGGCAAGTAGGTCCTTAGTAACCTGGGAGAATTGTTTTAGTCGAGTGGTGAAGGACAGAGAAGGAAATAGCAAACCACTCCAGTATCTTTGCCAAGAAAACCCCATAGACAGTATGGTCCATGGGGTCATGAAGAGTCAGACACGACTGAATGACAACAAGAAGGATGGAAGATTGAGGGATTGAGGAGAAAATGGGTGATGTGGAAGTCGAGGCAATGTGTGTAAACTACTGTTTCAGGAAATTTAGGCAGTATGATACAGTGGATAGAACTGACCTTGGAATCAAGAAGACCCAGCCAGGTTCAGGTCCTACTTCTTACACGTGCTGACTGTGTGCTCCTAAGCAAGTTACTCAGCTTTTCAGTGTCCTAGGCAACGCTCAGTAATACCATTAACTGCAGAGTGGTTGCAGTCTGCATTGGAAGAGGGAGTTTCCTCACTGGAGTTCCCTGAACCAATAGAATCACAGGTCTGATTTTTAAAAATAGAGGTGAAGAAGAAAGATGAGACAGTAGATAATCATCAGTTAGGAAAAGATTTTCATTAATTTCCTGGGGCTTATTTTCTCAAAAAGTTCCTCCACTACATATAAATATGCAAAAGATCATTTCTCTCTCCTCACTTTCATCTTATCCTGCCTACGCCCATCCACTGAAAGCCAAGAATAGAGAAAAATGAGCACAGTTATCCCTTTCACATCTCAGGAGTTAAGGTGCCCCTGTGATCTGGAAAATCCACATAAAATGTTTTGGCCCTCCCTTCATTCCAAAGAACAAGTCTGAATTTTTTTCCATTTTCTTTTATGGAGTGTTTACAGTACCGTATTGTAAAATTTGGGTTAATTATTTGGTCATAGGCATATTTTATCCACTTCTGAGTTTCTAAACTTTTTCTGTATCATTTGCTGGCTTTTGTGTGTTGTCTATGGCTTCTACAAAACTCCCAAAAAATTTCCATTTACGTAATTTCTTATGCCAACCCAAGATATATTGAAACCTCGATGGGGAAAGTTGAGATGTGGAAGGGATAATTGTAGTGAGAAAGAAAGGGTAAGGACCCTGAGACTCCCAAGAGCCTAATGTTTGATTAGGCTGATTAATTGATTAAGCAGAAATGGTCCATCTTTTATCTCCCACTTTCTCTAGTGCAAAGTTAATTGCCAGCGAACCAATAGGTAAAATCTGCCCCCCTCCAAAAAAAAAAGATATCTAGACACAATTAGCCTAACCAAAAGGCAGGAAAAGTCCTCTACAACAAGTTATATGACCTGGTCAAGTATGAAATAACCAGGCATGATGTAGCCAAGTCAGACCAAAAGAGTTAGTAAACAGCCTCCCACAGCCATCCAGTTATGCCCATTTCAATAGTAATAGATGACATGTTCTTGTCTCCATGACCATCACTTGGGATAAATGAGTCACAGATTTAGAATTAGAAGGAACTTTAGAGATCACCCTGTCCAACTCCCTTATTTTACAGCAAAGGCAGTCCCGAGAAGTTAAGGGACTTTCCCAAGTTCACGTAAGTACTAAGTATCAGAAATGGGAGGTTGGACCCAGGACTTCTGATTCCAAAGCCAGGGTGCTACTTTGCTTGTTCCCTGGTGCTATCATTGAGTAGTTTCCCGAACTCAGTAGTAGATATAATCACCATCACCAAAAATAAATATGATACATTCATCATGATAATATCTCTTCACTATTAAATGCAAGACACTAACCACTGCCCTTTGGTTTTCCCCAAAGGAAGTATATCCCTTCCCAAAGGGATGAGAAAGCCCCCATCTCCATTTTAATTGATTCTTTGTCTGCCACTGGAGGTCATTTAGTGACTTACATCTTACATCTTCCTACACACTAGAAATAACTATTCCTATAGGACCAGGCACTTAAGAGCCAATCATGGTAGCAGGCACAGTGATTGGGATAAGTTGCTATTACGAAAGGGAAATCTTTTGATATGGCAACTACGCAACATTAAATACCAGCAGACAGTGCTTCCATCCATCACCTTCTGAATCGCAAGATGATGGTGTGTTTTAATGGTAAATGAACCCAGTGTTCCCGGAGCCATTGAGTTAATGAGTCATGTAAATTCTCAGCTTTCTCCCAGTCACCCCAGATTTCTATCTGCTTGGTTTCTTCGTGTTGCTGTCATTACTCCCTTCCTTAGGAGATCATTTCTGAGTCTTTCTATGGTGCCACAGAGCTGGATTGTCATTTAAGTGCTTGTTAACTAACTGGAATGGCTCTTCTGTAACTGCAGATAAAATCCACAAGCCACCCAAATGAGCCTATCATAGGAGCTGATTCATCAGCAGCAATGGGGCCCTAGAAATAAAATATGGTTCCATCCCACCAACAATAGGATATAACTTGTATGTGTTGTTATGATTTAAATATATTTTTCCCCACAGTGGGGAGAATAGATGATGGGAAGGAGGGAGATTGGGATAGATTCCCAGTCTGTGGTAGAATGGCAAAAGTGGAATAAAACATGGAGACTAAAAATAACTCATGTATTACATGTAGCCTGAAAAAATGAACTTGGGAAAGAATGAATATGGCCCTAGGAGACAAGACTCTATTACTAGGGTTTAGAACTCTGAGTAAATCACTTGACGTCTCTTGATCTGAGTTGTCTCATTTGAAATACGAAAATAATCATGCTACAATTTGACATATAGTATGTGTAATTCTGTGTGGCATAGCGGATAGAGGGCTAGCCATGGAATCAGGAAGACCTAGGTTCAAAGCCTTTCCCTGAAACATACTAGCTAGGTGACCATGGCCAAGTCATTTAAGGAATCAATGTCCCCACACAACTCTTTAAGACTATAGATTATGTGATCCAACCATTCCGGACAAGTTGGAACTATGCCCAAAGGGCTATAAAACTGTGCATCCCCTTTGATCCAGCAAGAGGACTACCAGGTCTGTATCCCAAAGAGATCATAAAAAAAGGAAAAGGACCTACACGTACAAAAATATTTATAGCAGCTCTTTCTGTGGTGGCAAAGAATTGGAAATTAAGAGGATGCCCATCCATTGAGGAATGGCTGAACAAATTGTGATACATGAATGGAATGGCATACTATTGTTCCATAAGAAATGATGAGCAGGCAGACTTCAGAAAAACCTGGAAAGACTTACATGAACTGATGTTAAATGAAGTCAGCAGAACCAGGAACACATTGTACACAGTAACAGCAACATTGTGAGATGACCAACTTTGATAGACTTAGCTCTTCTCAACAATGCAATGTCTTAAGGCAATTCCAAAAGATTCATGATGGAAAATGCTATCCACATCCAGAGAAAGAATTATGGAGTCCAAATGCAGATCAGAGCATTTTGTTTTGTTTTTTTTTCTTTTTCATTTTTTTTCCTTTTGTTCTGATTCTTCTTTCACAATGTGACTAATATGGAAATATGTTTACTATGATTGTACATGTATAACCTATATCAGGTTGCACGCCATCTTGGGGGGGGGGAGGGGAGGGAGGAGGAAAAATTTAGAACTCAAAATCTTATAAAAGTGAATGTTGAAAACCAAAAATAAATTAATTTATTTTTAAAAGACTATATATTATGAATGAGTTGCTGATCTACATTAGTAGAAGAATTTTCCTAAACACAGTTGAAATCATAGGTCCAAACTTTTTAAAAATATTATACTTGTTAAAGTTGGAAATCTAGAGATGATTTCTTGAGATTCCTTCCAGAATTAAGAGCCATGAATCTATGCATGACTCTTGCATAGAGTTTGTTTATTTCTTCATGCAGCTGGATTTACCTATCTCCCTATCTAACCCAGACTGGAAGTGCAGCAGCCTGATGGCCTAGTCACTCAGCTGATCGAACAGAAACTTTGACTTTTCCCACCTAGGGCAGTTCATTAGCCACACTGGTACTCCATCTCCCCTTAGTGTAGACACCTGATCAGCTTTAGCCCTTTTACAGATCAGAACTTCCCAGCACATTGGTAGATGGAGCTTCCCAAACACAGATTGAACCAGCATCAGCATCCCCAGTAGCAGGGATTACAGGTGCGTGCCACCACCCCAGAGTTTCACAGAATTGACTGAAGAGATCCTTAGGACATGACTACAATTAAAAATTAAAGTGAAGTTGTCAGATTTGGGGGTGGTGGGTAGAAAGGAGCAGCTAGGTGGTGTAGCGGATGGAGCGCCAGACCTGGAGTCAGGATGACCTAAGGTTCAAATCCAGCCTCAGACGCTTACTGGCTCTGTGACTCTAGCAAGTCACTTAACCAACCCTGTTTGTCTCAGTCTCCTCATCTATAAAATAAGCCAGAGAAGGAAATGGCAAAGCACTCCAATATCTTTACCAAGAAAACCCCAAACGGGATGTGACTGAAACAACTGAAAAACAGCAACAGTGGAAAAGAGGTCATGGATTCAGACTGTGAGGAAATAGTAAAGTTTTTATCCCTTTCCTTCCAAAGAAAATTCTAGGGATGGTGAGATTGAAGGACAAGGCTGTTGACACCCATTGGGATAGCTTACTAGGCAGCTTAGATTTCCTTTTCTTATTGCTGATGAAGGGTTAAACAACTCTGTTAAGAATGGAAGGCATTTCATTCACACCCATTTGAGTTTTTAAATGGCACTGGGACTTTTGGATATTTTTAAGTCATAGCCTCCCCATCCCTAACTGAAAACTGCAAACACACACACACACACACACACACACACACACACACTACACAAAATGTCTCTGACAAGGCCTAGGTGATATTTACTTGGGAAAAAAAAAACGTTCACCCACTTAGATGGTTCTTTGCAGTTAAAAGGGCTAGGACGTCAAGCAACTGGTATTTTCTCCATGCCAGGGATAAAGTCAAAATCACAGAGAACCAAGGAAAAGTTAGCATTTTCCTATTGCCTGGAAACAACATTTTAAAAGTGGTTTATGTTTCCATCTTAACTTTACCACTCAAATTCAGGAATTTAACTCTTTTGCAATCCACTGCTCTTGAACATGGACAGGCTTCAAGAGACAGTGAAGAATAGAAGGGCCTGACATGCTACGGTCTATGGCAGGCATCACAAAGAGTCAAACATGACTGAACGACTGAAAAATAAAACAAAAGCTCCTTCTGCCTGAGTCTCCAATACTAACAACCCAAGAAAGGGAATTTCTGAGCAGGACCTAAAATTTCCTTTACAACAAGGCATGTCCCTAAAGAGTTACATCCTGAATAAACAAACTTCATGGACCAGAAAGGCAAGTACCTTGAAGTAAGAAAAAAAAAACAGGAAAGAGGGCAAATAAAGAGTAGTGAAACAGAATCAGAAGAACCCTGGGCTCATTTCCTGCCTGCAGTAATTATTAGCTATTTGATTATGCACATCACTTATCCTATGAGGCCCAATGTCTTCATCTGTGAAACTGGGATAGTTTTTTTAATGTGACTTCAAAAGTTTGCAGTAAAGATCAAAAGGATCATATAAATTAAATAGTTTTGATTGAGGCGATATGGTCCATGCAAAGAGCCCTGGATTTGGAGGCAAGACAGCCGAATTCAAATTCTGTCTCTGTCATTTCCTACTTGTGTGAACTTGAGCAAACAACCTATTCTCTCTACCCTTCGGAGTCCTCAACTAGAAAAAGAGGGTGTCAGTCACTTAACCCCAATTGCCTCACCAAAAAAGAAAGAAAGAAAAAGAGGGTGATGGATTCACTAGGTGAGTTCTACAATACTTTCCAGTTCTAAATGACCCTATAACCTAAAAAGATACTATGTAAATGTCATTGTTATTGTTGTTGTTATTATTAATCAAATGCAATCTGTTGGAAGGTAAAAACTATTTAAGTTTTGTTTGTGTCCTCAGCACCTAGCACAGTGCCTGACACACGTTAGACATTTAGTAATAGTATTGGGTTTTAAGATTTGCAAAGCACCATTAAAATATTATCTCATTTTACCCTCACAACAACTATGGGGGGGGTAGGAAATATAATTTTTCCCATTTTACAGTTGAAGAAACTAATATAGACAGAGATTAAGTGATTTGCCAAGGATCACACAGCTAATAAAGTCTGCGGTCACATTTGAACTCAGGACTTCCAGACTCTGGATCCAGAACTCTGTCCACTGAGCTGCCTTGTTGAATTGAATTGAAATATAATCTTAGCTGAAATTGAAATATTATATCAGAAATCTTACCCCTGCTAAAATTGTCACCCTTTCTCACTTTCCTGGTCTTTTTTCTCAGGACATCTTACAGGTGGTAGGGATCTATCTTGTATCCAAGATCCAAAGGCGAGGACTAAAATTAGGAACATTGGCCAGATCACACATGATGAACTTAGAAAGAGACCACCACAGTTTCCTAAGTTCAAATCACTCCAAAACAAACTTTTAGGAATTTCATTTCAAGATCTATCTAGACCCCAACCAGTCAGAAGGACAGCATATTGGCAGGAATTCTGTCTCAAAGGTCTCCATTAGGCATCCAAAGCAAGAGAGATTGATGTAAAAATCATGTGCTAGAACACTGAGTCCCAGAGAAAAGAGAAATCTTTTTTTTGAGATGGAAAAAAAAAAGAAAGACAGGACCTAGCCAAGCCAATTGTTGCCATCTTTCCAGTTACATTCCCAGCTGTGTGTTAGACTATTATGCTCCTTCTTTTAAAAATATTAATATTTATGCATTTTAAATTTTGGCCCTTTATGAGGTTATCATATGGGAACAAAAAGTAATGTTTGAGAAAATGAGCATTCTACTCAAAACAGCTAAATGATGGAAAGTTGATTTTATCCCTAAATTCATGCTTAACCATATTCATACGGCCTCAGCACAGTACTATAGTCATAAATGACGAGAAATATCCCGATACGGGAAAGGACTTATTCTTAAATAACTACCCTGATGTGCTAAGGGTCTTCAGACTCATAGACCCCTGCGGTAAACAGGGGAATTAAATGACCTGATGGCCATGAAGCAAAAATATCCTTAGAGGTGAGAAAATTAGGTAAGCCCACTTAACAGCAGTAGGAGAAAGGCTTGGTTGATTACCAGGTTGACACACAAAAAAAGATTCAGAATAGAAGCAGAATTCTTCCTCGTGGGAAAAAAAATAAGCATGCCCTCCATATCAAAAAACATAAGTTCAAACACTAAAACAAGAGAAAAAGAGCAATAAGCCAAAAATGACTTTTTCCATAATTGAATCCTCACCTGAAAGCCAAACATAACAATATTTTGATTGTCCAACTCGTACAAATATGCTTTTAGCCCAGTTCTATCAGAGATAAGTCTATCACAGACTAAATGAACAGACACTATAACTCTACAATCCAAAGTAAATTACTTTATCACTATATTTGTTTCTCAAGATGCATTTTTGCCAACAGAAATAAAAGGTTAAAAACATTTTCATTACAGATAAGAAGCCACATCTTAACTAAAGCACTGAAAAAATTTCCAACCCACTGACATTTTTATATTTATAGATCATGACAAAAGTCTCACCTGCTTTAACTATAACATCATTCAATAAGCTTAAATATCTTGAACGTATCTTTCATGTGCCATTTTCTCTACAAAACCCCACTACATAAAAGCATACAGCCTTTCAGACAGAAGATAAGTACATAATAAATCAGCTTAGAATCATTTTTTTCCCCAGCTCTTACTCACGGTGGCATCCTAAAAATTCATTTTACTTTATCTTTTCCAATCCCATGCTTTTTTTTCCCTTCCTCCTCATGTTTCCTTCCTCCTCTTCAGTCAACCCCTTTGCATGGTTTTATTTTTCATAGGTCACTCCTTCACGCTAGGCCTTGCTGTCAGAGAGAAGACAGATGACAAGCAGTGTCAGGGGGAGCATTTACTGCCTGCCTTCAGGAGGAACACTCATGCTCTCCTGCACCGTCTATGATTAGAAAGGAAGAGACTAAAAACCCCATTTGCATATGCTTTTATTCCCTTTCCACACCCTGCACGCTAAAGTCTCTGGAAAGTCCCTTCTCAATTCCCTCCTCAGGTCAGTGCTGGGGAAGAAGCTGAACCTGAATAAGAGATTATGTTTCAATGCGATTCCTTTCATGCGAGACCAGATTTAGTCATCTGAGTTTTACAGAGGAAATGGGGGTTCGGGCAGGCCCTCTTCTTGCCAGCTATAGGAGGTATGCCATTTTGGGGGCTTGCATACTCCCGAAGAGTTCTTACGGTCTCATTCTAGTTTGGTTGTCTTTTTTTTTTTTCCACACAGGAGGAAGCTCTGGTCAGGCGCTCGATACTCTGGCTTCCTGTCTGTACTCTCCGTGGTCTCATCTGGGGAAATCCTGAGAGCACTGTCATCTGCCCGATAAGCCTCTTAGCTTTTCAAGTACACCCGGTTTAGTTTCGGTCAAAACCTCAATTTAACATCACCCAAAAACTACGTGTCTCAGCACTTTTTTTTAAAGTTAGATTTTTTTGATGGGGGTGAGGGTAGGAAAGGAATCATATAAGAAACTCTTGTCCATTACTAATAGCATGCGAAGTTTGAACCGTCTTGAATGAACCAATGTTCTAAAATACAGGATTATGGATCTAGAAAATGACTTTAGAGGTCATCTAGCCCTCATTATATTGATGGCCCAGAGAAGTTAAATGACTTGCAAGGTCACACAGATAGCAAATGACAAAGTCTGAATTTGAACTCAAGACCTCTGACTTCAAATGCATTGCTCTTTTTACTGTACCGTGGTTAGCCGCTATGAATCAACACTAGCCTAATAGGCAGAATTCCCAGGAAATCTCTCATCATCTATTCCTGGTGATCACTGTCAATCTTATATCCTTATAGATATTGATCACAATTCTGTGTCCCTCTTTCCCAGACTGGAAAATTCCCGGATGCTCACTTCCTGGGAGGCCCTTTGATGTTTTTTCAGCTTCACAGTAAAACCAAATCTAACTGAAATGCTGTCCATTAGTAACGTGCGTCTTATGCCCAATATCTCAAAACCTACCATTCACACAGCCGTACTTATCATTTCTGACTCTTCATGACCTCGTTTGGGATTTGCTTGGCAAAAACGCTGGAGTGGATTCCATTTCCTTCTCTAGCTCATTTTACAGATGAGAAAACTGAGGCAAACAAGGATAAGTGACTTGGCCAGGGTCCCACAGGTAATAAGTATGCGAGGCCAGGTGTGAACTCACAAAGATGAGTCTTCCTGCATCCAAGCCTGGCACTCTATCCATGCATAATGTAGCTGCTATTTAGGAATGGACAAATAGGTCTTGTCTACGCAAGCAACTGGAATTATCAATGGGTACATCCAATGTATTGATTGTGCTTGAATACACTTGTTTCTTACAAGGCAATACTTGGGAAGGGAAGGAAGGATTATCTAGTCAGTAGTGACAGAGATGCCGACAAAAAAAACTAAAAGACCATCAATAAAACATTTTAAAACATACAAATGAAAACAAAAAAGGTGAGATGGGAACAGCATTGCAAATTTGTTACTAGATTGTTGGGGATCTGTAAGGACGTAGAGGGCCACAGGCTGTTCATGAGGTCTCACTGATGGGGGGAGGCCCCTCTCAGGTGCTGATCTATGAGCAAAGGTCTCCTGGTTCGGTGCTCCATTCTATGGATCTTCAACAATCTTTAACTCCCTAAGTTACTGTATGGTCATTAGCAGTTTATCTGTGATTGGAGTCAGACAAGTGCACAGGATGTGCATGCGCTGTCCTTAGCACAGCATGAGCTCTGTGTCATCGTGACTTGAGAAGAAGTTCCTGTTACTTTACTACTGAAGTGAATGCTTTGTTTAAATTAAAAGGAGTTGCTTCCATCTTGTCTCCCGCCTCATCAATGCGCATTCGAGAGATAGAAGGTTAAGCTGGCCTTATCCCTTCACAGTTAGTATAGGATCCTTGCTCTTGTGGTGAGCTGAGCTAGCAGTGCACAACACTATATTGTGAAATTCTGTGTGTACTTTTAAATATATATAGCAGAAGTTCACAATTTCATTAACATACCCCTTTTTTTACTTTCTATGTTGAAACACTTTTGTTTGTTGATGATTGTTAAATTCATAACCTTTTTTAAAAAGGAGAAAAGAAAAAAGCCATTGAGAGTCAGAAAGGCTAGATTCAAATTCTAGCTTCTGCTACTTACTACTTTTGTGACCCTCAGCAAATCAGTTAAGCTCTTTGGGCCTCAAATCTCTCAACTCTAAAATGAGGAGGTGAGTCTAGAACATCCCGTAAGATCCCTTCCCACTCTAAATTATACGATCTTGTGATCTATTAAAAACAATTAGGACCATTCACCTGAATGTGAGCTAAGGAAAATAAAGAAAATTCCTGCCTTAAGCAGAATTAGTCCCAAATATCTTTTGCCTTTCAAAGACTTCAAAGCAAAGTTCTCCAAACTTTAGGTCTGATAAGCCCTTTCAAACAATTTCTTTAAAAATTCTGCTTGGCTCAGGTGGTAGTAGTCACTTGACAGGTAGCATTGCTGTAAGCTAGTATGGTTAAAACTTTTGTTTTGAAGGATTCTAAATGGATTTCCAGAAGCAAAGGGAGGTTTTTAATTGGGGCCTTCAGAGCAATATTTTGGGGGGAATGTTGAGAATCAATATTATGGGGCCAGAGATGGACCACTAGGCCTGAAACTGAGCTCAGACTTGGAAGGTATATGAGTCAAAGGGATAACACAGCTCTTGATTGCTGGAAGTCTCTTTCTACTCTTTGTGAAGAACTCAAAAAGTTATTCTTACGAGTGCAACTCCTTCTTTGCTGAATTCCTCAGGGGACTATGAATCTGTATCCAGTCTGTCCTTGGCTCCTGTTTCAGATATTGCTGCCAACTGGTCTAAGGCCTCTGATGAGATGCTGATGGGAAGACAGAAAATCTTCCAGACCTCCACAGCTAGCAAGGACTTTCGCTGGATGGAGGGAGGGCAAGAAATGAAGACTAAAGCTCAAGGTGCTCTTCTTCTCTGTGTCTCATGGAGTCATTAGCTTCTACTCGACCAACTCTAATTTTAAAGATTTATTTTCTTCAGAGAGAGTTTGTGCCTCTTTTTCCATTGAGCTAATTCTGCTTTTTAGGAGTTATTGTCATCAGGGAAGTTTTGTACCACTTTTGCCATTTGGTTAATTCCATTTTTTAAGGAGTTCTTTTCTTTAGAGAGGTTTTGTTCTTTTACCAAGCTGTTAATTTTCATTTCATGATTTTCTTGCATTGTTCTAATTTCTTTTCCCAACTTTTCCTCTACAACTCTGCTTTTTTTTAAAAAAATGCTCTTTTTTTAAAAAATCTCTTTCTTTAGTTCTTCCCGGAAGTCTTATTGGACTTGCATCCAATCTGTATTTTTCTTGGAGGCTTTCCTCATAGGTATTTCCACATCATTTTCTTCCGAGTCTATGTCTTGAGCTTTTCTATTACTGTCATAGCTTTTTGTGACCAGGTTCTTTGTTTGTTGTTTGCTCATTTTTCTTATTTCCTATTTCTTGATATTGAACTTTATATTAGAGTTGGTATCTTCTCAGTTGGGAAAGCAGTGGTTGTCACTGTCCCAAACTTCAGGTTTTTGTTACCCTGCTATTTTCATAGCTAATTCTGAGGCGTCTGTGAGTTCTTGGTGCTTCCAAAGTGGTGTGACTGGGGAAGAGACATGATCACTGCACTCTCGGTCTGCTCTCTGGTCCTTACTCAAGGAGAAGCCTTACTCCCTTGCAACGGCAACTGCTAGTGCTCCTCTTCACCCTGGAGCTACAACGAGGAACTGGGTAATGCGCACTGGATTGCCAAACTGCCCTATCCTGCACCCTGTGCTAATGCAGGGGTCCCCTGTAATCTCCTTCTGACAGGCTGTCCAATCCCCTCACTGTCTCTGGGTAGTGAGAGCTCCTGAAATTGCTGCTGCTGCTATTGCCACCTACAAGGCCCTCTACTGCTCTGGGCTTCAGATCCCCACCCCAGTGACATAAACTCTCCTTCTGACCTCCTAAATGGTCTTAATCTGGAAAAATATCCCACCCTGACCTTTTGTTGGCTATGCCACCCCAGAACTCAATTTGATGTGTTATTTTAAAGGTATTTGGAGGGGAATATTGAGGGAGTTCTGCAGAAATGCTCCTTCTACTCCACCATCCAGTTCCCATAATTCCTTCTCAGAGGGATACTCAAATCACCCCCAGTCCAAACTGGCTTGACATTTTATAAATGATCCTCATGGGCATGGCCAAGTTTCCTCAGCCATTCCAAACATTTAAACATTCTTCCTGTACAGTCACTTCCAGTTCATCCAACAGCTCATCGAGGATGTCTAAATTGATTAAGGTCTTTTCACATTTAGTTGGAACACCTTGAATTGATTAGACTCAATCAAGAGGTTGATTTACTCAATAGACTCCATCTTTATCCTTTGGTAAGGATAAATATATAAAGGCCATAGGCATAGGCCTGAAAAATCCAACCTGGCAGGAAGGACCAATACTAGAGAAGGATACCCAAAATGGAAGTGGAGGCCTCCCACCCACCCAGAGGTGGACACACCTTGAAATCTGTATGTCACAATACCAACAAACAGAGCCACTGTCGTTCAGTAAAAAGGAGTCCCCTTAGAGGCCCAGCAGCTATGGAATTGGAATCTCTAAAACAAGCAAGAAATACAACAAATATGACAATATTTTATTTCTGCACAAACAACTCCCAGCTAACCCCTCCTCAGAAATCAAAGCAGCATACAATTATAGGACTCCAAGAGGAACAAAATACTCGAGCTGGAAGGGACCTCAGAGATCATCTAGTCCATCCTCCCATTTTACAGATGAAAAAATGAGGTCCAATGAGTTTATGTGACTTGCTCAAAGTCATGCAAGTAGTAGGAATCAGAGATGGGATTTGAAACCAAGTCTTCAGACTTCAGGGCTAGTGTTTATTCCCCAGCACCACCATGCTGCCTCCCACTAACAGGAATTCAAACAAAACCAGAACCTAATACTGTACTACAATGGTCCTCGTCATACATGGCACTAGGTCAATGGTAAACTTTCACCCAAGTATCCTTCACACAACCCCAAACCTTTTCCTCACTAAATAACCCAATGATCACCTCTCTGTGAATCTACATCCCTGACCCTTGAGCTTCGGTACTGTATCTCCAAGACACCTGCTGGATGGATATCTCCACCTGGATGTCCCTTAGTCATCTCCAAGTCAATATCTCGGTCAGTCAATAAACATTTATTAAGTGCCTACTATTTGCCAGGCACTGGGCTAGGCACTATGCAAAACAGAATTCACTGTGTCTTTCCCTAAACCCAACCTTCCATCTAACTTCCCTATTTCTATCCAGAGTACCACAATTCTTCCATTCTCTCTGCTTCCACATCTACCAGCTAGCCTCTGCTTTTCCCTCTCACACCATATACAATCCGTTGCCAGCACTGGTCAATTCTACCTTTAATATTTCTTGTATTCATCCTGTTCTTTCCACTCACCCAACTACCACCCAGTTTAGGGCATTTAGCACCTGGACCATTGCAATAACCTCTCCCTGAATCTAGACTCGCCCTTCTCTAATCCATCCAATCACCTCACTGCCAAACAGGTATTCCTAAAGTGTGAATTTGGCCAGGCGACTCATCTGCTCAAGAAGCATTAGGGTCCTCACCTTTTTCTAGATAAAATAGAAATTCTTTTCTTTGATATTTAAACAATCAAGATCCAGTCTATCTTTCCAAGCTGGTTATAAATCACAACCCCTCAGGCACTCCAGACTGGGCTATAACCCTTTCCCTCTGCCTCTTGGACTCCCTGACTCTCTTCAAGGTTCAGCTTCAAGAACCACCTCCTTAAAGAGGCCTTTCCTGCAGTGGATAGAGCACCGGCCCTGGAATCAGGAGAACCTGAGTTCAAATCCAGCCTCAGACACATAACACTTACTAGCTATGTGACTCTGAGCAAGTCACTTAATCCCAATTGCCTCACCAAAAATAGATAGATAAATAGATAGATAGATAGATAGATAAAGAGGCCTTTTCTGATAGCCTAGTAATTAATTACCTCCTCCCCCATCTCATCACCTTGTATATGTTCAGTATATATTTTGAATTTACTTATCAGCAAATGTTGCACTCTCCCTACTACAATGGAACCTCCTTGAAGGCAATTTTGTCTTCCTATCTCCAGCGCCTAGCACAAGGCCTAGAAGGAATGTAGCAATTAATAAATGTTTGTTGATTGATCAACTGATTGATCCTTCAGAGCCAACAAAATAAAAAGAATTAAAGGGCTGGGGCAAAATTGATGCAAGATGCAGGACTGCACAAACATTCAAGAAAGAATGGTCAGGGTAATTGTCGTTCATCCTTCGTTCTGGAAGAGGACCAGTGGCATCAAGAGGGTGATGCCTTGACTTGCAGGTGAATTGGATTTAAGTAAAGCACAGCTGTGCAAAGTCACCAGCCTCATTCTCTCCTACAGGGTCATTGGAGTCCAGGAGCAAGATATAAGTCAAGACCGACTGGCTGTGGCTCCCAGTTCAAGGTAATAAAGAAGGAGTAAAAGTAGGATTTTTCTAGCCCTCCACCCCCGCCATGCTTTACCTGCCCTTGATTCCATTCCACAGCCCTGCTAGCAATCCATAGGCAACAAGGATCTAGGAGGGCTCCATATAGTCCAACCAATGGATCATCAAGGCTAAGTACCACTCTGATGGCAGGACCAGAGGCTGATGATAATGACAAACCAGTGTGTAGGAAACCAAGAGCATTGGAAGCCAGTGTCAGCTCCCAGGTTCCCCAGCTAACTTGACATTGACTCACCGGGAAAACCATATGAAAGACACTTTGGCCATAAGTAGGAAAACGCTGGGGGTGGTTAGTAAAGCTTTGAGAGTACTTATTCTTATGGGGAGTAGCAGAATCGAAGCACCTAAAGTGGGCTTGAGAATTTCTGGGATTAGGGAGCGCCTAGGGATTGGTCCAGGGAGGTCTGTGTCTGCAAAGAGCCTATGTGGTGACTGCTATTATACATTTTATTTTATTCCCCTTCTTTTAATTATTTGGCCACAAATGAAAAAAAAAACACACATATAGTTGAAACAGGTTTGTGTAGTTGTCAACAACTAAGCACTGGGCCTGGAGTCAGGAAGAGCTGAGTTCAAATGTGGCCTCAGACATTTAATACCTGTGTGATCCTGAACAAGTCACTTAGCCTCTATCTGCCTCAGTTTCCTCAAATGTAAAATGCAGATAATCATAGCACCTATCTCCCAAGGTTGTTGTGAGGACCAAATAAGCTAATATTTGTAAAATATTAGCTTAGCACAGTTCTTAAAACACAGTAGATGCTCCATAAATGCCTGCTTCCTTTTTTCCTCCTATTATGCCATATTCACTTAACAGAGGTTGCCTAAATGGAAATGTAACAGGGAAGACTAAAAGAATTTTCTGGTGTGTGAGAGCTGAGCCAAAAGTTTAATTAGATAAATCCATGCAAACGACAGCCATAAACTAACAAGATGAGCACTGTCACCCCGAAGACGGGCAAAGCTTGGTGACAGACATTGCCAGTTCTCTAGGAATGATAGAGTTTGGCATTTCTCCCAAGTGCCTTCTGGTTTTGTGGCAGAGTACATTGTGGCCTGGGCATTCCCAGTGCCCGGTTTTCATTATTGAGCTGGAGCAAGCCACTGGCCAGCAGAACACAATGGCAAGTTAAATTATTACCCCTTTTCTCACTCCAAATATTTGGACCACATAAAAAGAAAAAGCTAAACTTCTAAAACAATGCAACACACAAACTCTAGCCAGGAGTTTGCCATTTGTGTATGACTATATTTTTTGTGTATGCCTACCACACTTTATTTCTCTTATTTTGTTTTGCTCACTAAATCTCTACTAAGAAGGGGAAAGTCTAGTATGTCTGTGAAAATGATTTTGGGGAAAAAAAATTCCATGAAGACAAAACAATTTGGATATCCCAAGATATTTTTCATAAAGGGATTTCATTCATATTCATTGCACATTATACTGGCTACTCCCTACAAAGAGTTATACAGGGTAAGAGTGGACCTCATTTAGATTTCAACCAGGCTGAACTGTCCAAAGGGGCATAGACATAGAAATTTACAGGAAAAGGCCTTTCAGATGCAAAGAAACTATTTCACATTTAGAAAGGGGCTGAAATTTGAATAACTCAATTGCATATGAAGAGACCAGCTAGACAATGAACTTGCCCCAAACGAATTCAATACTTTTGTCTCCAGCCACTCATCTGCATAAGACTTAGAAAGGGTTTGGAAAGAATAAGTTGGCTGATAATTATAAGTAAAGTTAGGATCCAAAGCTGAGAGAAGGCTACAATTCCTTCCCAAAGGTGACAGACCTCACAGCCAGGGCTCTCTCCTAGTTGAAATTAAGAGGATTCTGCTAGTCCTAGGCTTTGTTATTACTAAACAGATATGTCTAGCTGACCCAGAGGCTAAAGGTAGTGAAGACAGCAGCTACCCACCAAAAAGACAAATTCAGGCAGTCCGGTGGATTGACCCACCCAACAGAGAAACCATTCCCTAAAAAGAACCCAGCAGCTGAATGACGTGCTTGGGCCAATCTAGCAGCAATCCAATGGCCACTGAAGAACCAGCTCCATAGTGAAGTGACCTACTTGACCCAACTTGGCAGCGAATTAGACTGTCCATCGGAGATCTCAGGCCCTGCAAGGAGTCAGTCCACCTGAGCAGTGGAAAAAATCACCTACCACCAATGCTACCTCCCATGGCGAACTTTGTGAAGAACTTCCAGAGGAGAAAAGACATCAAGAGTCACAGTTCCAAAGTTGCAAGTTGCCTTGGCTCCTGCTTAGGCTCCTCATAGTATTCTTCATCCCCTCTCTCTGTGGGACCTCGTGATTTGGGGGAAAACACTTTGTAATTGCTATCTTTGCTATGTCATTTGAATAAATGCTTTTGCTAAAGAACTAAGTGAATCTACTCTGTAACTGTCAAGGGGAAGAACGTTGGTGGGAACTCATGAGCTATAATATTAGAAGTGTAGCAATTCGGATTTCAGAAAAACCTGGAAATGATGGGATGGGGCCTGGACCCCTGAAAAGCCCTTGCACTTTCCCACAAATTTCAACGAACAAGTCTCCGGTGTTTCCCTGAGGCACTGGTCCATCCTAATACAATCCTTTTAACTGCCTTTTCATTATGGCCCTCAGTGTCTGCACCTGACCCACCCCAGGCTACTTGCCACCCTTTGATCCCAACCATATCTTCTTACAGTAACAATATCAATTTATCCCCATTACATTGTTCAGATTCTTAGAATCTGACCCACTTCTATTGGTATCACACATACCACAGACTCACTAATAATCTCACCCACCCAACCAGTGTCTTAATAAACTCCCTACTTAGACTGAAAGGCTTGAGTGGTTGAATTCTTTCGAGACAGACCCTCGCCCTATATCCTTGCATTTCGGGGTTCCTAGCACCCCTAGACAGCATTAGAAAGACTTACATGAACTGATGCTGAGTGAAGTGAGCAGAATCAGGAGAACATTGTATGAAGTAACAGCCACATTGTGCGATGACTTTGATAGACTTAGCTCTTCTCAGCAATACAATGATCTAAGACAATTCTAAAAGACTCATAATGGAAAATGCTATCCACATCCAGAGAAAGAACTATGGAGTCTGAATGCAGAGTGAAGCATACTGTTTTCTCTTTTTTTTCTTTCTTGTGGTTTTTCCTTTTTGTTCTGATTCTTCTTTCACAACATGACTAATGTGGAAATATGTTTAATAAGAACGTATATGTATAACCTACATAAGATTGCTTGCCATCTTGTGGAGGTGGGAGAGAAGAGAGGAAAGGAGAAAAAAAAAATCTTATAAAGTGAATGTTGAAAACTATCTTTGCATATAATCAGAAAAAATAAAATACTATTAAGGGGTGGGGTGGGGGGGGGAAGAAGTGTAGCCATTAGAATCTGAGAGTGGTAGTGATGGGGTTGGGATCTGGGCCACAGAAAGGAAAAACCCTGGACTTTCCCAGGTGGCCAAATCTCTGGTGTTCAGCTGAGGCTATAATCAACTGGCCTTTCATTGTGGCTACACCCAATCTCCCCTCCATTGTCTTGCCTCCCTATGGCCCCAGGCCACTTCCCACCCTTGGTCCCATCTAGGCTCCATTACCTCATAGACTGCTTGGCCATTCCTAGATCCTCCCACAGGCTTTCTGTATATAAGGTCCATCTTGTCTCCATGAAAATGCTCAGATTCTTATAATCTAGCCACTGCTTGCTCATGTTCAGACTCCTTAAGAGTTTGCCCAATATGACAGATGTCCTAATAAACATTGTCTTTGGCTGAAAGAAGCCTTGGGTCAAATTCTTTCAGGCAGGACCCATGTGTTATGATTTTGGGGTCCCAGTACTCCTGAACCCCTAAACCACATCAGTAGGAGTCACCCCTTGGGAATCTGCCAGTTCTAGTGCAAGTAGGGTGAGTGAGCCCAAAGGGGGTTGCTAAACAACCATAGGCCCTCTCCTCTGGAAATGAACAAAGACAGACAACTGTGGCATAGACAATTGTAATGGGTATACCCAAGGCATGAGAAGCTGAGTAAGCCCTTTCTCTCCCTTCTGTCTCCTTGACAAGAGGCAAACTTGCCTGATCTTGGCTTCCTGTTGTGCTCTTCACTTTTGCTTTGTTTGCCATTGACTCAAGTTCCCAGCTTCTAATTTGCAGCAGGAAACAAGGATCAATGAGTTGATAGTTCACTAACGATGAAATTTACACCTGATCTGCTTGACCTTTAAAAGAGAAGTTCTCTAGAGGGAAGTCAGACAGAGGGGAAAGGAACTACATATAGACTTAGTTCACCTCCCAGAAAAGATTACCGCACAACCACGCTTTCTTCCAAAGAAATACGTACATTGAAGAACCAGGGCCAGATGGAAATGCAGATCCGTAGGGCTTTGGAGCCAGGCACATTCAGAAGAGGGAGGCCAACAGAACCAAGGAGCCATTCCCCAGCCAGGAATGTCATCACTGCCATCAGACAGTGACACAGACAGCAGAGAAAGGAAACAAACTCATTTTCAGACTTATTCAGTGTGTCAATTAGCTGCACTGCTTTGCTTTGGGTTTTTTCTCCATTTTTTATCTTTAGAAAATATCATTTGTTTATATGCAACAGCTTTCTGGGAAGAAGAAGGAAAATGATACTGAGGGAAACCATGATGATGTACAAAATAAGTCATCAATAAAAATTACTTAGAAAAGAAAAGAAAAGAGACAGACTCTCAAAGAATAGGACAAAGAGAAGATGGATTGGCTCTGAAAGCGAAACAGTCCCTCCCCTCAAGGAGGTCACATTCTAATAGCAGAGCCACGTACCTACATATATATACATATACACACACACATACACACATAAGAAAAGCACAGTGTAGATACAGGGAAACTTTGGGTGTAAAGGCCCTAGAGATGGAAGGGGCCAGAAAAGGTAGCAGAGGGTGGCACTTGAGCAGTGTTGATGGATTCCAAGGGGCAGGGGGAAGGAGAGCATTCTAGGCATGGGGGACAACAAGCATGGAGATGGGACAGGGGCCCCAATTTGATCATTATCATTTCACATTAATCAGTTTCAACTGTTTTGTAAAATCATATCTATTATAACAAGGTCAACAGAAAGAACAAGGAGCTTACATTTTAACGGGAAAGACAACACAAGCACATATTAGAAGAACACAGGGAAAAAAAGGTAGTTTGGGGAGGAAGGGCATTTGTGTAGAAGGTCACACTCACTAGGTCGACTCCTGAGAGAAACCAGAGATTCCAAAAGATGGAAGTGAGGAGGAAATACATTCTGGGTACTGGTGACAGCCAGTGTAAAAGAACAGAAATAAAAGGCAAGCGTGCCAATATAACCAGACAATAGAGACGGTGGAGGGGAATGATGTGGAAGAAGAATAGAAAGGGGGCAACTTGGTGGCACAGTGGATAGAGCTCCAGCCCGGGAGTCAGGAGGACCTGAGTTCAAATCCAGCCTCAGACACATAACATTCACTAGTTGTGTGACTCTGGGCAAGTCACTTAACCCCAATTGCCTCACCAAGAAAAAAAAAAAGAAGGGAAAGGCAGGAAGGGGCCAGGTTATAAAGGACTTTAAAAACAGAGAAGCAATAAGGAGCCACAAGAGTTTATTGAGAAGGTAAATGAAGAGGCAGTGAGGAGCGCACTGGATAGAACACTGGCCCTGAAGTCAGGAGGATGTGAGTTCAAATGCGACCTCAGACCAAACACTCGATACTTACTAGCTGTGTGACCCTGGGCAAGTTACTTAACTCCAATTGCCTAAAAAAAATTTTTTTAAAAAGAGAGAAAGTGAATGATATGGGCTTTAGGAAAATCATGTGGGTGGCTATGTGGAGAATGGAGTACAGTGGAGAAAGACTCTGCAAAGCACTTTACAACTAAAGTTCTCTCACAACAGACCTGTGAGATGGCTACTAAAAGTGCTGCTATCCATTTTACTGATGAGCAGATGGAGGCTCAGAGGGGTAAAGTAATTTGCTCTTGGCTGTATAGCTAGTAAGTTTTAGAGGTAAAAGGTTAGCCCAATCTTCCTAATTCCAAATCCAGTACTGTGCCTCCTCTGCCATATCGTCCCAGAAAACACAGCAATTTGTATTTGTATAGTGCTTTAAGGCCTACTTTCCTTAATACAACCTTGCAGGGGAGGCACTGTATCATTAAGGCCATTGTACAGATAAGGAAACTTACCCTGCGAGAAATTAAGTGCCTAACATGATTACACAGCTGGTAGATTTAAAGGTGGGAGTCAAACTTGGGTCTCTCAACTCCAAGTCCAGGGCTCAAGTCAGTCCTTAGGAAGCTTTTCCTCACATCAAACCGAGATTCGCCACCATGCAGCCTCCTCCCATCACATTTAGTCCTATCCTCTGCAAACAAGCAGAACATGCTTATTCCCTCCTGATGTAATCTAACATGACCAGACAGTAGAGAGAGTGGAGGAGAATAATATGAAAGAAGGCTGGAGATACAGGAAGGGGCCAGGGAGTACGGAGCTTTAAATTATAAACAGAGGAGTTTATATGGGATCCTAGCAGCAAGAAGGCACCACTAGAGTTTATTGAGGAGATGAGTGATGAGGACATGTCCTTATTTTTGACAGAATGGCACAAGAAGAAACAGAAGGACAATATAGAACTAGAGACTAAGGAACCGAAAAAAGTATCACTCTCAATAATTTTTATTAACTGGAGCGGTTATCACATTGCCATGTCTTCTGGAAAGTTCTGTCTTACAAGGTTCTTTTGACAGGAAGCAAGTTTTGTTGGCTAAGATCTTACTTTGATTAGTGACTGGAAGCTCTCATGGCAATATTACACAAAGCAAGATAATATTACCACATAGCTTGAAATACAATGGGAAAAGCAGTGCATGGTCACTCACTGTGCAGAAGTTTCATTTATAGAAAATGAAACCAGCAGACTGCCCCAGCGATACAAACAGTGTCAGGATGCTTTTGAGTCAGCATCTGCTCCCCATTTAGTGTTGACTAGCTACTGCTTATGCTAAAGCATCATAAATCATTTTTCTATCTTTCAGATGAAGAAATCAAAACATCCTACATTCGAATACAATGAACACAGTGACATCTAAAGAATAGAGTTGTAATTCTCAATGCTACTGGTGAGATGTTGTGAGAGTATACACGCTTGAACAGAGGGCAGCTCAGTAATGCAATGGATAAAGTGCCAGGTCTGGAGTCAGGACGACCTGAGTTCAAATCCAGCCTCAGACACTACCTGTGTGACCCTGAACAAATCACTT